GGCCCTTGGCCTTGTTGACCCTCACCCAGTTGGGCTGGGCCCATGGATCCAGCCTGGCCAGGTCCCTGTGCAGAGCCCTCCTCCCGCCCAGCAGATCCACGCTCTCCCCCAGTTTGGTGTCATCTGCAAAGTGACTGAGGGTGCCCTCGATCCCCTCATCCAGGTCATGGATAACGATGTGAAACGGAACTGGGCCCAGAACTGAGCCCTGGGGGACTCCGCTTGTGACCGGCCACCAACTGGATTTAATGCAGCAAGAAGGTCTTGTGTGAACTTTTTTTACCAGTAGAGCTGTTTTCTTGAGATAATTTATATATTGGCTCGCAGGACCAAAAAGGGAGAGCTCTGCCTGAAGGCTGGGTGCCCAGCCACTGAAGGGACGTAAGATTTATTCACTATCTGTATTCTTATTATTCTGTCTTATTAAAGCAGTGGTCTTATTAAGGCATTTGTTGCCTCTCTCTCCCTGGGGGGCACGCTGGGGAGGGAAGGAAGGAGCTTCCCAGGTCTGTGAGAAGGCCAGGCACTCCCATGGGGGTCCGGGAGGAGGCCAGGCACTCCCATTGGGGTCCGGGAGGAGGCTGGACTCCTCCACAGGGGCTTGGGAGGAGGCCAAAGTCTCTGCACCACTTGGAAAACAACCAGGCAAGGGAAGATGCTGAAGATAAAAAGCCATTTCAGCAGTTGTGGTCACACAGACTTGCTTCCCAGGAGCTCCATGTCTGGACACTCCTCTTCCAAGTCTGGGTTTACTTGTCTTTAGGTCTACTCAAACAGCTGGTGTATTCAGAAACAGCACCCCTATTTTGGAATTACTTCTGTGCATTTAGTGAATGTGCAAGCCAAGTTTCAGCCTCACTGGGAACCTCTGCATCCAGAAAAGTCTAACATCGTCTACTCTGCACAGTAAGCTGAAAAATCCCAATAAGGAAACAGCGCAATGTATGGTAGAGTAGATACTCTCCCAGGGGCAACAGCCCTGCGTCGTCTGCAGTCCATGGCTGATCACAAGTACTTGTCCTTGTGGTGGCCTTCCTGCCCTGGGGTGTTCTCTCCCACAACTGTCTTCATACTGAGCACGTACTGAAACAAAGGCTGAGCAGGGATATGCTCTTGTAGGCTTCCTTCCAGGAGAGGCAACTCACACCACCCAACTCACACCACCAACTCACACCCTAGGGTGCTTTCAAAGTGGTACCTGCCCCAACTCTGACAGAAAGTGAACGTGACAACCATTAAAAAAAAACCAAAACCAAAAACATATCCAGCACACGAGTCTCAAAACTTATTTTTAAAATATGCATTTAAAGAACTAAGACTACAGCAGGCTCCTTCAGAAGAATATTTGTACACTTGGTCTTTCAGAAATAAAATAGGACAACTGATTACTTGACACGTGCACTTTGCACAGTGCATTATATTGCAGCAGGACAGATGTTAAAGCTCACATGAGGAAATACAGCAAAAGCCCCAGGGACCGGCAGGCATAGGCACACACTGAAGCCACGCAGATTCAACTTGAAGAAGATCACACAACTAGCAACTCGTGTTGCTCCCAGGCTAGTCACCTGGCAGCAACTGGTCACCCTTAGCACAACAGCCAAATTGTGTGCTGGTCCCCGTGTCTCGTGTCCAGTGTTGTAAGGCAATGAGGAGCCATTGAGCAACACTGCACACAGGGACTTCAGAGAGACCAGCAGCCCTGAGGTATGTGAGCTTCTCAATTAAAGCCATAATTATGTATAAGGTAAGAAAAAGGGCATGAACTTTGAGGAGACCTGGTCAGGAAAATTAGTTTCATGGCTCTGGGCCAACTGTTTCTTTCCAATGGTGCATAGCCAGAATGAGTCCAAGTTCAGGGACTCCCAGAAGTTCATCAGATAGGGGTCTCCAGAGCCTACCAGGGACAAGCTATACCATGAGCCTAAAAAACCCACAATCCCCTCATTGGAGAAGTGGCTGGAAGAGCTGACCAACTTCCCTCAGATCCTCAACAATGCTGTAGGGTGCAGGACTTCCCAGCAAGTTTGTGGTGGCACAGCCTCCCGCTAGTTAGCTGCGCGGTGGGCTGCTGCACCAGGCGAGACACAAATCAGCTTCCAGTATCAGCGCTTAAGCATGGAGCACATCTACAACTAAGCCAGACCTATGGTCTCCTCCATGGTTGGTGCTCCTCTAAGTGAGCTCCCTGAGAAACATGTCCGAAATTAAATGTAAATTACAAGTTAAATCCCCATTAATGAAATACTTGAGAAAGAGGCAAAAGTGCAACCTGCAATGCAAGTGCCCCAGACACAAGCCAGCGTGCCCAAAGCATCGCAACGCTCCCCTCAGCACCTATGACTTCTCTAGTTATCTGGAGCATGGGAGGCTCCAGCCTCTCCCAGATGGCTGCACTTCAGAAGAACTTCACATCAAAAACTTATTCCGACACAGAAGATCACCCTGTGTCCAGGTCCATTGCTTATATTCCTTTTCTTCCCCTGAGTATGAAGATGGGATAACTGCCTGAGGAGTTTGCTGATCAAGGCACAGATTTTTAGTAGGCACTTTCTGAACGTACAAATAATTATCAGAGTCCTCAAATAATTGCTTAAAACTGAGAAGCACTTCAGCTCGGTGTGGCTGGGAATAACTGGAAACACCACCTCTGCCATGCTGGCCACACCAACAGTGTCTTCTGCCTGGAGAACCAACAGAACAGGATCAATAGTGTGTAAACCACAGCTCCAGCTCAGACAAGCGATGGGAGGGCTGAGTTGATCATCGCTCCCAGCTGGTCACCTCAAAATGTCATCCCTTAACCGGTGGCCTTTCTTTCTCCACCATCCCTCCTCTGTGTAGCTGCAACTCGTATTAAATCCTTTCTCCATCAAATGTGAGTACTTACTGCAGCTGTTAGTGATGTATCAAGCTGTAGCCATCAATCGTGGTGTAATCAGGCTCACCTGAAACACAAGAGCACAAAAAAAATTACGTCTGCTCATGAGAAGTGCTCATGACAAGACTACACAGGACAGAAACACCATGCACTGGCCACCCGTGTTAAAGGGATGGGAGGTAGGGGGGGAAGGAGACTCGAAGAAATGACTTGGTTTGCCTAAGAGCCAAAGGAGGACCTCCTTTTACTGGTGCTAAAGTGGCACGGGGAATGACCCAGCTCATGCTGCTGAAGGGCCCAAACTGCAGAGACAGGTGGGATCCCAAGCTTAGACATTCTTAAGCTTCAGAAATGCCTACACACAGGGCTCTGATCAGAGCTTCTCCTGGGTGAAACCTCACTTCCAAAGTCTGCACCCAACTTGCCAGCATCTTTCAGTGGGGACCAGACTTAGAGCAGGAGCTTCACCTAAAGGAACCCCTATAGAGATTTAAAGACCTGATGGGGAAGAGCAAGAGCAGAGAGTTCCTCTGTGGGGCCAGAAACCCACCAAGCAAGTAACTCACCCGGCACGCTGCTTGGGGTGGGTGGAGGTCCCCTCCTGCATGGAAAGAAACACAGAACTGAGGATCTGCGTGGCTGCGGGACTCCCATCGCCCTGGCTCCGCACTCCCCAGCTGGTGGAAGGGTGAGAGGTTTGGCCAGTCTGGGCTTTAGGGAGACCCGGTACCAAGGCTTGTCATGGTGGGCTCACCACCAACAGCCTGCATGGCAAACATGGGAATTGAGGCCGGTACAGTGGGCGAGAGGACAAAATAAACCAAAAAGCACTAAGTTGGGGAAACACTCACAAGTGGGCCTCAGGGCATGCCTTTTCACATGCCTTTGCCCAGACTGAGACATCAATAAGCCATAATTGGCCATGACTCCTCTCCTGATGTGACAGCCAAAGCGGGACACTCATCTTTAGCAAGAGTCTTTGGCCCTGAATCGTCACCTTCCCCGCAGCAGAAGCACCCTTCACCCTGTCCTCCCTGCCCAGCTTCTGGCCCAGAGGAGTGAATTTGGCTCTGCTGTTCTTCCCTCTGCCCACACATGCTTTTAACTGACCCTCTTCAGATAGACAGGCCACGTGGAGAACCATGCAAGGAAGCCTGGAAGTTTTAATTTTGGTATCAAAAGCTGCTCTAAAAGGGAGCTCCCATTGCTCCCAGAGAGAGCAAAACATGAAACTGCCTTGCTTTTCTGCTGTCCAGGTACCACAGCTGCTCACCTCAATACAAAGGACTTCTGGAAGAGGCTTGGCACAAGAAAAAATGAGCACACCCTCACCACAAGCGCTTTCAGAACAATATTCCCACCCATGAGAAGGGAGAAATGGCCCCAAAAGGGGGAGCAAAAACCTCTGACGGGGCTTGAGGGGGTCCTTGAAGTGCCTGTAATATGCACATTGGTGTAACTCCTGCTGTGGAGCGTGATGGACTACACAGCATGGGACATGGGAAATATTTTCCTCTAACACTCCCAAGTCAAGCCTCCAACAGACTGAAAGCAACAAAATATGGGGTTTTGTGGGGGAGAGTATCATTTGCAATAGCAATTGCAAGTGTACATGTTATGTCCCTTACCTTGATATAGGTACAGGAACCGGACTTCTCACAGGAGTTGCATTTCTTTGTGTGTTGTAATAGTTTTCATAAACAACAGGAGCTAGGAAAAGTTAACAATAGTAAAGTACAGACCTTTTATAGCCATAAACTATTTGTCATATCAAGATTCAGTGGCTAAGTCTTTCCCCTCTCTGCGAAAATGCCTGATCAGGAAATTAAAAGTTACAGAAAGGGGAGATTATCTTCAGGGGCTGGTGTTATCACCACTTATGTGGCAGAGACCAGTGCTGCATACCAGTGAATGAAAGGAGGGACGTGGCAAAATCAATGGTTTTTTGTATCCAAACTGATGCTGATCAGCACAGCATCTCCATGAGGAGCACAAGTCAGCCAGCGCTGCTTTGCAAGGTTGTCCTGAGCTCTTACCTGGGGCCGCACTTCCAGTTTTGCGTAAATTTACAAAAAAATCAATATCCTTCTCAATGCTGCACATTTCTAAACTCTTGCGGATTTCCTCATATTTCTGCAGAAGGGAAATAAAAAGCGTTTCTATACATCAGGTCAAAAAACAAGGGGGGGGGGTTCCAGTCACTTATCACACATGGGGTGAAAACCCAGCGCTCACCCAGGACACAAGCTTCAGTGGTAGGGGAATCACAGAGTGACAGAATCATAGACTGGTTTGGGTTGGAAGGGACCTCTAGAGGTCATCTAGGCCAATGCCCCTGCAGTGAGCAGGGACATCTTCAACTCCATCAGGTTGCTCAGAGCCCCATCCAACCTGATCTGAAATGTTCCCAGGGATGGGGCATCCACCACCTCTCTGGGCAACCCATTCCAGTGCCTCACTACCCTCATAAAACATGCCAATCCCAGAGGAAACTTCATCTGCAAGAGCTCTGGCCAAAACCTTCTGCCTGCACACTCATGCCGGCGTCTGGTGGCTGATCAAAGGCCATGGACCACTCGGACATAACACAGCTCAGTGCACAGGAAAGCAAACGGGGCTTTGCTTTCCAAACACAAAAAGGAAGATTTTCATTTGATGTACCTCATCATTCTGGACGCAGTCCTGGGAGAGCTGGTTGACATGAAGCCAGAGGGCATTGCGGAAGTAGTTGATCCGCTCGCACTCCTGAGTCTCAAAGAACTGTAATAACAGAGACAAAATGGCCCTCACATCTTTACAACGAGAGCGAATCTCTTTTGTCCTAAATGTTTGTCATCCCCATGTGCCATTACAAAGATGACTGTCCTCAGCGAGGTGCAGGTGGTGGTGGTCTCCTGCAGGAAACATGGAAGCCACCAATCCTCCAGCTTGTCCAGAGGAGAAATCATCCCTCTACACAACCAGGTTATTTCAAAGATGAGTGTTAAGCTTGGGCAGATCTGCAGGAGTGATGTGGAAGGGGTCAGCCGGCACACCGCTCCCTCTGGGGAGACCGAGCCAGCTTCTAAAGGCAACGCACGTTCCCTAGGCACCCCGTGGTCCTGTGGCCCCAGCTCATTTCCCTCCCACAGCTACAGAGCAATAAAAAAGTACTGGGGATGTATGAAAATAGAGGTGCATTAACTGGCTGCTCTTCTCCCTCTTTCCTGCCCAGCCCCTTTCCAGGCAGGTTTAAACCCAAGTCTTTTGAAGTCTGCTGTCTGATATACCTTGATTTCATGCCCCTTTATGCATGTCCATGAAAGATAACCTTTCATCCTAAGTGTACATAGGCACTTCTTATCAGTTTATGACCTTTGCAACACACCAAGGGGAAAACCTGCATGTGACCTGCCCGTGGAAGTGAAACTACTGCTTTCCACGCCCCACTGTCGGAGAGGCTTCCCAAGACCCCAGGCACCACAAGCACACCAGCACCGAGACACCGACGCAAGCCACATGAGACAGCGAATTCCACTTCACAAGGAAAAAGTAAAACAGAGGCCTGATGAGCAGCAGCTTGGGAAGGGATCGGCGCAGCTGGGAATGGGAAGGCTGTTTACAAGCTTGCAGCAGACCCGGGAAAAAGCTTTGATGTCTGCAGTCCCCGTCCATCCCCCCCAAGATCACTGCGCAAGACACAGCGTCCAGCAGCAGAGCAGTCGCGTGGTCCTCTCGCCACCAGCCCTGGACTTCCCCAGCACATGCTTGCCAGATCACTTTGCGATGAGACAGCCTGCTTTAGGCTGATACCACCGCTCGGAGGGGCTTCCCACCCCTCCACG